AATTATAATATTATAATATTCTAATATTCTGATATTATTCTAATATCTAATATCTAATTCCAAGCACATTAGAAAAAATGTTTTAGCGGTGAGGCTTGTTTGACTCTATACAGATGTCTGATATCTAAACCATTTGGTATGCCTGGGGTGGGACAGGTGAGTTCTTTTGGCAAGTGGTCTGGTGGGTAGATGTCCGTGGTGGTTTTCAGAGCGCCAGGTGATTCTGAGACATGTGGGGAATAGTGAGGTTGAATGTGGTGCGGACAGTAAGGCTGTTTTTCCTCCTGTGTTCAATAGGTATCATCCACGTGTTCTGTATATTGATATTGATATCCATCATGGAGATGGTGTGCAGGAAGCTTTCTACTTGACGGACCGTGTCATGACAGTGTCATTTCATAAATACGGGAATTATTTCTTTCCTGGTACAGGTATGTATCTTCCCTTATAGCATGAACCTGGCCTCACTTTAGAATCCTTTGAAAGCTCTGCTGAAGTATAAAAGTATAAAATCATAAAATTAGAAGTGCAGGGAGAAATGATGGGAGAAAGGGCATGGAAAAACAATTAGAGAGGAGCAGAAGTATAGTTATTTGTAAGAAAGAGGGATCCTAGCTAGGTTAAGAGATCTAAACCCAGACCAGATCTGGCCTTTCCACACTTCTAAAGTCTCAGAGCTGTTGACTCTCCTGTCTTTCCCTGGCCAGGTGACATGTATGAAGTTGGCGCAGAAAGCGGTCGTTACTACTGTCTCAATGTACCTCTACGAGATGGCATTGATGACCAAAGTAGGTGTTCCCTGCCATTTTCCCTTACCCAGGTGTTTGCTGGTCCTTCTGCTCCAGAGCCATGACAAATCTACCTTTCTCTCCAAAGGTTATAAACACCTCTTCCAGCCAGTCATTAACCAGGTGGTAGATTACTATCAGCCCACCTGCATAGTACTGCAGGTAAGAAAGCAAACCTCTGTACACATGTCAGTCCCTTTCAGAGGCTGTAGGTTGGAGGGGACTGCTATCAATGCATTACCTTCTGTTCCTGGGGAAATCAGGATTGGTGTGTCCTAGCTGAGCTGCTGTCTGTAGCCTGTGATGAATGAAGGTAGCCAAGGGGTGGGGATGCTGATGTGTGTCTGGAAAGCAATGCTTCCATAGCAAAAATTCAGTTGTTCTTTTTCTGTTTCCCAGTGTGGTGCTGATTCTCTGGGTTGTGACCGTTTGGGTTGTTTTAACCTCAGTATAAGAGGACATGGGTAAGTACAGCGGGGCTGGGGCAGAGCAGTTAGTTGAGAGACTGTCCTTTAGTCTGAAGGGCTCTAAGGAGTCTTCTGCTGTGAGATGTGAGCTTTCATTTTGGCCTTCCAGCAGAACCAACACTT